ACAAGAAAGCGGGTCTCCTTGTCTGCAGCCTCTACCTATTGTTACAAAATTTGACAAAAATCCACATTGACTTACAGCAGACTGTGCGTCTTTATAAAAAATATTAAACCATCGTTTAATAGAAATTCCAAAATTAAAATAAGACAATGTTTTTTGAACAAATGACCAGGACAAAGAATCAAAAGCTTTTTCAAAATCAATTAAAAGAAGAAGACCAGGGATATCTTTCTCTTCAGTATAATGCATAATGTCGTATATAAGTCTTGAATTTTCTCTCCAATATATCTACCCTTAATAAATCCGGTTTGATCTTTGCTAATTAATTTGTTTAAAGTTTTTTTAATTCTATTTGCAATGACTCCAGAAGCAATTTTATAAACTGTATTTAAAAGAGTTATGGGTCTCCAATTTTTTAAAAATTCTTTTGGTTTATTGTCTTTAGGAATACATGTAATTATTCCCTGTGTTTGAGTTATGGAAAGTTTGCCTGATTCATATGCGTTATTAATAGCTCTAACGACAAAAACTCCTATTTTTTTCCAAAAAACTTTGTAAAAATCTGCGCTGAAACCAGAAGATCCTGGACTCTTATTATTTTTCATGTTATGTAAAACTAAAGTTGCTTCATGATAGTTTATTTGACCTTCTAAAGCATTTGACTCTGTTGGACTTAAAACAGGTGCTTCTATGTTTGAAATAAAATTTTCAAAGGAATCGTCATTTTCATTGTGTATTTTTGCCATAAATAGGTTTTGATAATATTTTTCTAATTCTTCGAGAATTGCTGTTTGTTCTTTAACAATTGTTCCGTCATCCTTTTGAATTTTATAAATAGTTTTAGAAGTGTAATTTTTTTTCTCTAAGCTGCAAAAGTACTGTGAAGGTTTTTCACCTTCAAGAATCCACTTAACTCTAGAACGAATAAGATAGCCCTGTAATTGCGAATCATTTAAGTTATGAAGCTCTGTTTGAAGGTCCCGAAGGTGCGTCATTTTATCTTCAGTTAAATCGGCTTCTAAATCATTTATTTCTTTAATGATATTTTCTTTGTTTAAATTAGTTTTCTTCTTTACATAACTACTATATGATATAGATTTCCCTCGCAGTTCCATTAAAAGAGTTTCTAAAAACAATTGATCATTTATTGTAAATTGAATTTCATTATCTGGAATTTCAGTAATGTTGTTAAAATTATAAACTGGTAATGCATATTGTATTTTTATTTCGTCAATTTTTTCGTTTATAGTATTTAAATAGTTAATGTCCTTTAATAATGAATTGTTGTGTTTCCACAAGCCTTTGCCATGTTTAAAGTCGTCTAATTTTAAGTTTAATATTACAATGGAATGGTCTGATTGGTAGCTTGTAGTTATGGAAACATTTTCTACAAAGTGGAACAAAGTTGAAGTTATTAAGAAGAAATCTAGTCTTGCTTGCTGAAGAGGCGTGCGTTTACGCCATGTATATCGTCTTAAAGTTGGATTAAACTCTCTAAACGGGTCAACCATATCTCTTTGACCAATATTAATCAAAACCGTATCTCTAGCTTTACTGTTATTAATATTTTTATAGTTAAAGTAGTCTTTTAATGGGTCTAAAACTAAATTGTAATCACCACATAATATATATGAATCATTCTCTATCCTGTCAATTAAACTGAATATTTCATTAAACAAGAGGGCCATGATGGCCCTAGATCGCTCACCTGATTTATCAAACTCATCCAAACAATTACCTAGACAAGCATTCTGACCAAGTCTCATGACAGGTGAGTCAAAAATGTGACCACTACAGTGTTAACAAGGATTATCCATATTTGAGCAGTGCGACCTAGTTTTTTACCCAGGTGACACATATTCAAACTTGACCTAGAAATCATCAAAACAAACTTTTAGACCAATTTCAAGGATACTTGGATCAAAACAGTAGCAACTAGAGTGTTAACAAGATTTTTCTATTTTTAGCTCCGGTGACCTAGTTCCACATGCGATTTCGAACTCATCCAAGCAATTACCTATACAAGCATCCTGACCAAGTTTGATGATAATTGAGTCGAAAATGTGACCACTAGAATGTTAACAAGGTTTTTCCATATTTGGGCGGTGTGACCTAGTTTTTTTCGTCCAAGATGACCAATGTTCGAACTTGACTTAGAAATCATCAAAACAAACTTTCAGACCAATTAACAGAATATTTGGATCACAACAGTAGCCACTAGAGTGTTAACAAGATTTTTCTATTTTTAGCTCCGGTGACCTACTTTTTCATCCGAGATGACCCATGTTCAATTTCTTCCCAGCAATGACCTAGACAAGTTTCTTGACCAAGTTTGATGACAATTGAGTCAAAATTGTGACCACTAGAGTGTTAACAAGGTTTTTCTATTTTTAGCTCCTGTGACCTAGTTTTTCATCCAAGATGACCCATGTTCGAACTCATCCGAGCTATCACCTAGACAAGCATCTTGATCAAGTTTGATGATGATTGATGCAAAAATGTGACCACTAGAGTGTTAACAAGGTTTTTCTATTTTTAGCTCCGGTGACCTACTTTTTCATCCGAGGTGACCCATGTTCACACTCATCCGAGCTATCAACTAGATAAGCATCCTGACCAAGTTTGATGATGATTGATGCAAAAATGTGACCGCTAGAGTGTTAACAAGGTTTTTCTATTTTTAGCTCCGGTGACCTACTTTTTCATCCGAGATGACCCATGTTCGAACTCATCCGAGCTATCACCTAGACAAGTATCTTGACCAAGTTTGATGATGATTGATGCAAAAATGTGACCGCTAGAGTGTTAACAAGGTTTTTCTATTTTTAGCTCCGGTGACCTACTTTTTCATCCGAGATGACCCATGTTTAAACTCATCCGAGCTATCAACTAGATAAGCATCCTGACCAAGTTTGATGATGATTGATGCAAAAATGTGACCGCTAGAGTGTTAACAAGGTTTTTCTATTTTTAGCTCCGGTGACCTACTTTTTCATCCGAGATGACCCATGTTCGAACTCATCCAAGCTATCACCTAGACAAGCATCTTGACCAAGTTTGATGATGATTGATGCAAAAATGTGACCGCTAGAGTGTTAACAAGGTTTTTCTATTTTTAGCTCCGGTGACCTACTTTTTCATCCGAGATGACCCATGTTCGAACTCATCCGAGCTATCACCTAGACAAACATCCTGACCAAGTTTGATGATGATTGAGGCAAAAATGTGACCTCTAGAGTGTTAACAAGGTTTTTCTATTTTTAGCTCTTGTGACCTAGTTTCTCATCCGAGATGACCCATGTTCGAACTCATCCGAGCTATCAACTAGATAAGCATCCTGACCAAGTTTGATGATGATTGAGGCAAAAATGTGACCGCTAGAGTGTTAACAACTAAATGTGAACGGACGACGGACGGACGGACGACGGACGACGGACGACGGACAATCATCGATCCTAAAAGCTCACCCTGAGCATGCTCAGGTGAGCTAAAAATTCGGGTTTATCAGTATTTGGGCCATATAAATTTACTAGAGTAATCTTCTGCCCTTCAATGGTTAAGTCTAATACTATAAAATTTCCAATTGGGTCAATAAATTTGTTATGGATTTTGTAGTCAATGTTATTATTAAAAAGAATCGCTACCCCTCTGGAGTTACATGTTCCAGGGCTTAAAATACACTCATTATTCCATTCACAGTATATCTTTTTGTACATATCTAACGTAAAATGTGTGTCTTGAAGACAATAAATGTTACACTGTTTTTGTTTTAAAAAATGAAAAACGGATGATCTTTTTTTAGACCCATTCAGGCCTCTACAGTTCAGAGATAAGACATTTATATTACTTTCAACCATATTGAAGTAATGCAGAAAAAATAAAAGAGATAAGTTAAAATATAACCAAAAAACATCATTAACATTATGGCAGATTGCGTCTCACATACAATACAAAAAACGAATACACAACAAAAAATACTTGAATTAATATTTCAAAAAGGTTTGACAATAAACCTCTTTTAACCAAGACCATTTTACTACAAATAAAAAATTGAAGCATTTATATTTCTTACACTTTTGATATATTGGCGTCAATACTTAACATGATTAGAAACTTTGCAGTCTATACATATTTATATATAGTCATTTTGAAATTAGAAAGTAACTGCTAGAAATGTTTTTTATACTTGTATTTTAATGACAGAAGAAATGATATCTTAATAGCCAAAAGTAAAAAAAAAAGATTTATTTTTGAAAAACTGCACTTAATAGATGTTACCATTAAATACAGATAAATTGCATTTGTAAGGAATTGATATATTAGCGTCAATACTTAATATTATATGAAACTGAGTTTATATATACTCATTTTGAAATTAAGCTAGTAGTTGTTAGAAAAAAAAATTAACTTGTATACTTATGACAGAAAGAAATGATATCTTAATAGCCAAAGAGTATAATAAGATTTTTTGAAAAACTGCATCTTAAAGATTTTAACATTAAATACAGTTTAGTTGCATTTGTAAAGGAGGTAATATTAAAAATCCTTAGGTACACAAAACATTATATACACGAACGCATAAGTATATATATATGTACATAATACAACAAAAAGTATATATGTATGTTCATAATACAACAAAATAGGCATACTTTAACATGTGTTTGTTGTTTTTCTTTAAAGAAAATATCAACTTCAAAATTGCAGAAAAACAATAGTTAATCATTTATCAAGGCTCGGTTTTAGAGTCTCAAAAGAAATGAAATATATAGTTATATATAAAGACAATTCACAAATGAAGAGTAAAATCAATTTTCTTGATCCTTAAGAATCTTGCAAAGAAAAAATATTCGAAATAGAAACAAGATATCTTAAAGATGTAAAAGGAAAAAAAACGAATTTCATTAATCTATTGTGTTATCCTTAAATTAGGTATTCTTGCAATCGAAAGCATAACAAGTTTACCTTAAGGAAAAAAAAACATATTTCATTTTTTAAAATTTTCCAGTTTTAATTTCCAGCTTTAGCAATTATAATCTAAATTTAGTTATCCTGAATTCCTATATTTGTATTTGACTATGCTTTAAAACAAAAATATTGCTTAAGTATTTATAGTTCAAAAAATTTGACAAGTTATCAATATTGCAGTCTTGAAAATGCATGTGACACATTCTTTTTGAAACAGGCATTCTTTGTTAGAAAATATGAAAATAACTTAATATTTTGCAATGTTCAACAATCTATACATAGGCATATCTTGATTATTCAATATTAATGTTTTACACCAATAATATCATTCCAGATCTTTCATAATTACAGAAAGAAGAAAACGACATTATTTCCTATTTGTTTGTAAAAGTACACCAATGATATATTTACAAAGCTGAGATAAAAATAATTACTTTAAGTGGAATACAAATTTATTGCTTTAAGTCATATTCGTGCACCTGTTTGCTTTTTAATCAATTGTAAAATATTAAAGGGACTTGAAATGCGGTAAAGAAATGTAATAATTACATTTATTCTAAAATACTGTTTTACTTAGGTAAACATGAAAATATTTCAATATCTTCAAAAAAAAGGTCTAGAAAAGAAATCATCACATTTGTTCGATATAAAACATGACATTCAATGCACGTGTTATACACGTGAATATTTTTTAGTTCTAGTAAACGTATTTATCCATAATGTACAGGTATGGATATCAATTTATTCTAGAATATGAACAAATAAACATGCAGCTAACGACTTTCAAGCAATGACGCTACAAGAAACCAGGATACATGTATTTGCTAAATTGCAAACTAAATACTGGCATAGAATGTTATTCGTATTTACATAATATAAGCTAGCCAATCAGAATGCCGGTATAAGTGTTAATTTTGTGCAAAACTATTGCCAAATCATGACATTTAATAATCATATAAACATTTAACAACCGGTAATATATATCACATATAAATAGATATCCATAAAATATACAAGTCATGTAAATGGATATCCAGAATATACATTTAAAATGTTTAAAGCGGCCTTCAGTTTTTATTTTCTCTTGCAAAAGCAATTTGTTGTTGTTTCAAACTAGTAAGTATTTCAGTAATTTCATTTTGTAAAAGTGAAGACAACGTCCCGAGAGCTATTTATAACGTGTCAGTGACGTTTTTTTTCTATAAATAGAAGACGGGAAACGATTCGTCCGCTTTACTCATTTAAATATAGAGGTTGGACCGGTAGATAAGAGGTATCGAGAGTTATCCTTAATGTTTTTGCATTTTATCGTCGGCAAATTTCATTTTCAACCTTAATTTTTCTGATTTGACAATCATACGAAACGACTTATCTAAAAATTACATATTTGAATTTTAAAAAAGCCGACGGCCGCTTTAAATGGATATCGTTAATATATCAAAAGAAAATATATATCGTTAGTATATCACACAGTCATGTTAATAGACATATCTACAAAAAAAATCTTAGTTATTAAATCATCGGGAGTAAATTAAACAAGAACATAATTTATTTATTTAAATACACAACATAAAAAAACACAAAAAAACGCTCATCAGGAGCCACGCATGTTTCAATGTCATTGTGTCTGTTAAACGCTGGGTTATTTTGAATTATCGTTTTGATCATGTAAATTACTACAATATGTTGAAAAGAACGTTTTCTGTTGACTATCAGATGAACATATGTCCGATAAGGACGTTAAATTAAACACGAATTTGGTAATGTTTAAATAATTTTCAAAATATTTTAAACATTCTGTTCAGTAAAGATTATTAAATGTGGAATGTTTGATACGCACACATATCATGAACTTCACATTTAAAGTCTCAAGAGATCAAAGTCTGCATCTTTCTCTTGCCCCGTCACTGTGTCCTTGACTTTAACCTTTAGTTCTGTGTCTCCAAATTCAAACTGAACCTTTACAGGATGATCTTTTCCTTTCGTGTTTTGTAATGGAATGCTTATTTCGCCTATTTTCCTACTTCCCTCTTCGTCTATATATAATGGATGTTTTCTAGGGGATGTGTATACCCAGACCTCTAACTTCGATCCACTATCATCAGACGGGACATACTCTTGTGTGTAAACTTTTTCTTCTGTCTTGTACTCCTGGCCAATTGTTGCATGCTTACTAAAGTAATCCTTGCAAAGGACTAAATCACCTTGGACCTCCCTCTTCTCTGGTGGATCTAGCCCGGGCTCGAAATGCTTGAAAGCGCGTATCCCGTATGAATATTTACATACACGTGCTGTAATCATCTTTGGATTGTGCCCAAACAGAACTGCCCCCTTCAGAACAGCAAGACCAGCTTCCTCTGGTATTATCAACTTTACTCTTGGGAAAGTCTTTCTTACCTTAACTTGAAGCATCTCGGATTCACTGAAACCGCCCACCATCAGAATTTTGTCGATTTTATGCTCCCTTATAGAGCTGAAAAACTCTTTCGCCTGTTTACAAATTTCCTCACATACATCCGTAAAAAGATCCTTCATAACATCTGCATCGACTCGTACCTTATCATTTGTGAACGTAACTTTACCCTTCAGACGTTGCGGAATACTAGGATTGTTAGCAATGTCTATATTGTTCAGTTCCTTGTATGTATTTGTAAATGAAACAGGTATCTTTATAGTTTCTATTCCAGATAAGTCAGGAGAAATTCTTCTCTTCTTTATTTCAAAGCTTTGCATCACATCAAGGTAATCCTCCCTGAAGCGTTGACAAATTACTTCCATGACATCCGGGCCAAATAAATCATTCAACAACGAAATAAACTTTTCATCCACTTGCGTACCACCGCATTCTCCCCCATTGGCTTTTGCAAGCTCTCTTAAGGTACTGTCTTCCTGTATTTCATGTACAGTTATATCGACAGTTCCACCTGAAGATAGACAAAGTTTTAACGAATATAGGCTAGAAGGAAGCATATTCATCTCAAATATGTATTATTGGTGAAAATATTATGATTGATTTACAGCCTCATTATTACAATATCAATTAAAAGAAAATTACAGAACACTGGGTTTTAATTTGAGCCATTAATTTATAATACTATAACATACTTTCCAAATCACTTATTCATTCTTTCCATACCTTTTACAATATAAAATACCTTTATAGCAATAACGCTACTCGTTAGATGTAATGTCTGAAATAATAAGAAAAAATGTCCCCATGACTTTTCTATTTATTTCTATTTTATTTATTTTAACATTGTCTTATAATCAAACGCATCCGTGATTGTAACTTAGAGTCTTACCACCACAGTCAAGAATCATGTATTTGTCTCCAATACTGAAACTTCGAATTTCTGCTTGACTGACACCAGTAACTCTTTGCACGGGTACATATCTGCAAAACAAACTAGCTGCCTCGGGTTCAAGACTCAATGAAACCATGTCTGTGTGTATCTCGGCCTGTAAGATGCAATGCAGTCTGTTATCAAATAAGTTAAAATAAAGTACCGTTTTCGTTTCAATATCTGTATGGTTGCATGTAAATTATTGACCTTTTTTGCTTTACACTTTGAAAGTAATTGTGAGCTCAAGTAAAAGTAAGTGTGCGTGCGCGCGAGCGCATGTGCGTGCGTGTAAAAGTATGCTTTTGTACGTAAAGCATCCTTTTGATCAAAGATATTAAAAAGTAATCTAGGACATAAATTTATGTTTCGCTTCTTACATTAATTGCTGCCTCTCTCATAAACTGTTTTGCTGAATCTGTCCATATTGCTGGCACTGTGATTACCCAGTGGATATCCTGGGGTCTGATATCGATAGAGTCTTTTTCTAGCGTCTTGATCAAGTGGTCCTTGAGGTATTTAAGACTTTCTGTAAACACAATCATAGCTGGCATGTCCATACCCTTGTCATCTCTAACAACTGTGTCGCGTGACAAAGCCTAAAAAACAAAACTAATACAATTCCTTTTTATATACACGTTATATAATTCTATGAACTTATTTCAAACTCAAATTGTTCATAATGTATCATTTGCAAATGCATTAATGAACGGTTCATATCATAACTTTTTATGGACACATACAGAAATATATTATGGCTATTTGTCTAGCACAATGATTGGCATACATGTTGATTTAAATAAATAGCATAATCAATCGAAAGGCAAGAACATTTTTTTCAGTTTACCTCTTCCTTATACAAAGTCATCTTAAATCGTTTAAAGAAGTACCAATTCCACGTTTCACCATCTGCTGCAAGTTCGTTGTATTTTTGTTCAGCGTCATTACCAAAAGAATGGAATTGTTGATGTTTATCGAATAGAATACAAGTTGGTGTCTTGTGTGAAAGACCAGGTACCGAGGATTTCCAGTTGTTTGATATGATTTTCTGTTGAGATACAATAGTGATTATTTATTATTTATTTCTGTATTAAAAAGACACACACAACAAAACACACTTATGACTGAGATAAAGATTTCTGAAAGTGTCTCTTTAGGCTGATATGTCCCTTCTACACAATGGAACTATAATATAATGTATAAACTTTAAAGTAAATCATTTAAGCATAAAATAAATTGAACTACAGTCAAACCTGTGTAAAAGACCACCTCTGAATAAAGATCACCCTGTAAATAAAGACCACTGTTTGACCAGCGTTAATTGATTAAAAAGAACAAGGTACCCCCTACCCCCCCCCCATAAAAAATAAATAAACAATAATAATAATAACAAGAGCCATGTCAACATGGCCATCCCCCGCCGAATGTGTTTGCTCATTGGAAGAATGTATATGTAGTACAGCAGAATAATTCCATTTTAAGAAGTCTTTTGGTAATGAAAACTGATGGCTATAGTGATTACAGATTTGAAACCTATGTGAATACTGATGGCTGAAAATAACAGAGGGCAATAACTGAAAAATAATGCAGGGTAGGTTATCATTCTTGTGTGCTGCATCCCTCCTCAGTAAAATCTATCCACCTATGAAGTTTCAAGTTGATACCTCAAATACTTTTTGAGAAAAAAAATTGAATTGAAAAATTAAGTATGCAAAATAACAAAGGGCAATAACTCAAAAATTATAAAAGGTAGAGTTACCATTCTTGTGCACTGCACACCTCCTGAGTTAAATATATGCACCTATGAAGTTTGATAATGATATCTTAAAGGCCCTTTGAGTTATGCTCTGGACAAAAATTAATTTTGAAAAATAAAAAAAGGGCAATAACTAAACAATTATGCAGGGTAGAGTTATCATTCTTGTGCACTGCACTCTTCCTCAATGAGATCCATCCACCTATGAAGTTTCAAGTTGATACCTCAAATACTTTTTGAGATAAGCTCCGGACAAAATAGTATGAAAAAGAACAAAGGGCAATAATTCAAAAATTGTACAGGGAAGAGTTATCATTCTTGTGCACAGCATTCCTCCTCAATAAAATCTATCCACCTATGACATTTCATGTTTACATCTCAAACACTTTTGAGTTATGCTCCACTCGGGTGAAAAATTAGGTATGAAAAATATCAAAGGGCAATAACTCTAAAATTATGAAAGGTAGAGTTATCATTCTTGTGCACTGCACACCTCCTGAGTGAGATCTATGCACCTATGAAGTTTCATTTTGATATCTCAAAGGCTTTTTGAGTTATGCTCTGGACAAAAATTAATTTTGAAAAATAACAAAGGGCAATAACTCAAAAATTATAAAGGGTAGAGTTATCATTCTTGTGCACTGCACTCCTCCTCAATGAGATTCATCCACCTATGAAGTTTCAAGTTGATACCTCAAATACTTTTTGAGATAAGCTCTGGACAAAATAGCATGAAAAAGAACAAAGGGCAATAACTCAAAAAATGTATAGGGAAGAGTTATCATTCTTGTGCACAACATTCCTCCTCAATAAAATCTATCCACCTATGACATTTCATGTTGATATGTCAAACACTTTTTGAGTTATGCTCCACTCAGGTGAAAAATTAAGTATGAAAAATAACAAAGGGCAATAACTCAAAAATAATGAAAGGTAGAGTTATCATTCTTGTGCACTGCACACCTCCTGAGTGAGATCTATGCACCTATGAAGTTTTATGTTGATATCTCATAGGCTTTTGGAGTTATGCTCTGGACAAAAATCAATTTTGAAAAATAACAAAGGGCAATAACTCAAAAATTATGCAGGGTAGAGTTATCATTCTTGTGCACTGCACTCCTCCTCAAAGAGGTCTTTCCACCTATGAAGTTTCAAGTTGATTACTCAAATACTTTTAGAGATATGCTCCGGACAAAAATGTCGGACGGAAGAACGGGCGTTCTAACAGGAGAGTAATTATGTGGCTACTCTATTGTTCTCTCTATTGTTCTTTATAGCCACACAAAAGAAAATAGCCATATAAAAGCATTACGGAATGAATGACATCAAAGAGAAAGAACAGTTACCTATTGTCCCTCTAGCCACATAATTACTGTCCTGTGAGTGCGGAAGGTCGGACGGACGGACGGAGACTATTTCTATATCCCCCGCCGCCTTTTCGGCGGGGGATAAAAATAGAATAAGAGCAATTGTCTATAAATGCCATTTTCGGTCTCTCCCTTTGCTGGCCTTTGTTTACAGGTTTGACTGTACATTTATCGCATCAGTTTAAAAGCAGTGCGCATGCATTGATATAGTTTAAGACAAAGTTGTAATCTGTAGAACAAAAGTCAACATAACTATACTAGTATTCTATATGTCTGCTTTACTGTTGGTGTTCTTAGTACTAATTATATTATTATAATGCAAAAATCAACTTACATTTTTTCACCATTAAAGAAAGTTGCACAGGCATGAATATGGAAAAATAATCTTAATATCTCGAATCGATTACATGAAATTTACCTGCAACGGATCAGTAGTAAAGTCTGCACGAGCTTGAAATGCGTATCCAGAATATGTTGTTCCAAAATCAATTGCAGCAACAAACATGCGTTCTTTTAACGCTCCCGCTCGAACTGGGATTGAAGTTGCACCCTGAAAATGAAAAATGTATAAAATGTTACACTCGAAGATGAATCACATCATTTATTCATGAACTAAAAATATACAAGTATAGACAATGCAAAAGACAATAAATTGGATGCAAATGCTGGTAATATTATAAGTACCGTACAATATTTCAAGAAAAAGTTGTTCATTTTAGAACGTTATCCTATCATTATTGGGAAAATGTGTTTAATAGCGTTATTCTATCGTTATGGGAAAGAGGTTTTTCTTTTTGAGAGCGTTATTCTATTATCATTTGGAAATTTTGTTCTTTTATAGAGCGTTATCCTATCATTATTTGGAAGTATTGTTCTTTTATAGAGCGTTATCATATCATTATGGGAGAAGTTGTTCATTTTTAGAACGTTATCCTATCATTATAGGAAAAAGTTGTTTATTTTAAGAGCGTTATTCTATCATTATAGGAAAAAGGTTTTTAATTTTTAGAGCGTTATTTTGAAAAAAGGTTATTATGGGAAAATGTTGTTCATTTTTAAGCGCGTTATCCTATTTTAATGGAAAATATTTGTTCATTTTGAGAGCGTTATTGTATCATTTTGGGAAAAAGTTGTTCATTTTTTTACAGCGTTATCCTATTATTTTGGGAAAACGTTGTTCATTTTGAGAGCGTTATCCTTTTATTATGGGACAAAGTTGTTCGTTTTTTGTGCAATAGCATATATTATGGGAAAAGTTGTTCATTTTTAGAGCGTTATCCTATTATTATGAGAAAAGGTGTTCATTTTCAAAGCGTTACCCTTTCATTATGCACTGTTCGACTTTAGATGCTTTGTTATAATAATAATTATGTGCTCCAAACTAAGTTTAATGGGACTCAACTGAGTTTTTTGACAGGACGGGACTGGAAATAATTTTCCGACATTTATGTTTCAATTGATGTTAGTCTTGACCAATAACTTTTGTTCAGATCAATCCCTAACTCTGATTTTTTTCAGAATAATAATTCTAATATTTTAAAATTGCCTAAACTTGAAAAGCGTTGCATATGCTTTTGACTCATAATGGGCTACGAACAGCACAACAAAACGATTTCCAATTTATGTCTGATCATATTTCTTAATTATCCTTTGCATATGTTTCTGCTTTAAGTGCCCCACTTTATCTATTTAAAAAAAGAAATGCGCCGCGTCATGACAAAACCAACATAATGGGTTTGCGACCAGCATGGATCCAGACCAGCCTGCGCATCCGCGCAGTCTGATCAGGATCCATGCTGTTCGCTAACAGACCCTATAACAAGTAAAGAAACTGCTAGCAAACAGCATGGATCCTTATCAGACTGCGCGGATGCGCAGGCTGGTCTGGATCCATGCTGGTCGCAAACCGATTATGTTGGTTTTGTCGTGACGCGGCTCAAATTAAAACTAATCTTAAATTTTGAAGTTTTTGGACCTCAGTGGAGTTCCTTTAAGAAGCTGATTTATAATGATAGCTGACGTATAATATAAGTGACGAATATTTTTAGATATTGTCGCTTTAAACAAAGAAGTCGTACTTAGATTGAAAGGGATACAACTTTTAATGTAAGATCAAATAGAATATCGGACTAAAGATGTCACTTAAGCTAATTGTTTCATGTATAAGTAAGTCGTAATTTACGATATTTAAAACAGCATGCCTGAAGATTTATGAAAGTTAAAGAAGAATGCAAATATAATAATTTAATCTTTAATTTTTATTTGAAATAAACCATACGAAGCGTTTCATGTAAATATTAATACACCTTTTAAACTACAAATTTACATTTCATACATTTTATTTTCAGAAAATTTGCTATATAGTGGGGTTTAGAAATAGAATTTTATCGTTCTTTAGTAAAGGCACAGGAAAAACAAATTTCAAAATACTTAATCTTCACTTTCTCTTTCATAAGATATTTCATAAATTTATAGATAAAACTATTTGAACATTGACCTACTGTCGACAAATAACTGCGTGTAAAGTGTAACACTCGATTACGCGAAATATCCGTTATATATCAGTTTACACAAATAGGCTAATCAAAACCGGGTCGATACCTTTAGTGTTTATAATTTTAAACGAAAAAGTCTTAAAATTCTTAGTATACATTAAAAATACATTGTATATTATATATAGATTATAATATGATATACTAGTTTATCTAATATTATGTGTTATTTTGGTTGCAATTTAAAAATCAATTTCAATATGTAAATCTACTTTCGATTTAGTTCATATTCTGCTCACAAATATCTCAATGGACTTTAAATTAAGTGTGACACTTTTCTAATTTGTAAAATCCAAAATTATAGTAACTAAATATTCATTTTACCTGTCCTATTCGGTTTGACGCCATTTCTTTAAGAAAATCTGGAATAAAATGTTCTAGTTCACTTTTTGGAAAAGTGAATATGTAAATCCCACACGTATTATACTTCCTTTTTCGATTTAAATCAAAGGGAGGTTACGCTGAAGACATTTACCAAATTACACATCGCGAGTCGTCTCCCGAATATACATTCAATAACAATGATACACATCTTATTGCCAGGATTAAAACATCTCAGTTTCAACACAATGTTAATTTGTTATATTAACATTTTCCAAAACGACTTACAATTTCTGAAATAAAGAATTATAAGATATAATTTAGTCATCAAAAGTATAAGCCTGGTGTGTTTTAAAGGAAGCACATCATTTAAATTAGTTATAATATTGGGGTATATTTAGAAGATATTTGCGTTTGTTCGTTTTTGAGAAGGAAAAATGTATATGTTCTTAATCTGAAACACTCCTATGTATTTACTAAAATATACATACAAAACCATCTTCTTACTGGAACAGGTACCCCCACCCCCAAACCCTCACCATCATAGTTGAGCCTTCAAAAGGAAGTCAATACTCCTATGATTAAAAATAAGTGAGCAATAGATAAGCAATAGACATCTTATATCATACCGACTATTGCGAGACATTTTGCTCATTTTAGCCGATCCACAGCCTCTTTTTGGAAATCTAAGTTAAGAAATCTGACCAGATTACTTGCGATAGTGTAAGATAAGAGCGTTTTATAGATTCGATTTCATTTTTAGAGCATACAGTGATAACATAAATCATAAAAAAGTATTGTATAAGACATACAATATGACAAATTAATAGGGGATAATTGATTTTAGGAGATTCAGCGTTCATTTTAAAAGTATTATATCTTATTAATAAAGAAAATAGTCGTCATTCAATGGTGAAATTCCATATTGTATAATTACCACGATGTAATTAAAACCTTAATGAAGGGTTTGACTAGTTTATATTAATGTTTTAATGCGTTCTACGTGACATATACAATATACAATTTCCTGAAGAAAATAATGTATCTATGTTGAACAAATTCAAATCCCAATTCCCTCCTGAACTTTGTAAAGCCACATTCCGAGACATTTTTATCGTAATAATATAACTTGTAGGGAAATTTTATGAAAAGGCTAGACGCTAATTTAGATAAGATAAAATAATCCATCTTTTTCAATATATATTAACCATTGCCATTTGTATATGTGCATTCATTAATTTCCATCTTGATATCTTAATATATTGATATGTCTGTAGATGTGTCTGTAAAATGACATATATACAACTTTATCTCATAATAACAGACACGTCTCATCGGGGAAATCATGGCATACTTTGAACTTACTTTTTTATCATACCCCCGCCATGATAATTTCAAGGGAACATAAAGTGTTACATTGTACCCCTGTCAGTTCGTGCATAGATGTGTGCTGTTAAAAATCTACATTAATATTCATATTACACAAAAGTATCTGTGTTCTAACGTATAAAATTGTGGTTCCTGTGTTTTTCAAACACATTTCTATTTTTTACTTATTTCATAGTCCTAAAATGTGAGTGCTTTCTTATATTTCGCACCGCTTTTAAGATCCTGTATGTTGTAATTAAGGTTGATACTACACTTAAGAGAAACTTTATATATGTGTATAATTATGCTTCTCAAACAATTACAAACATAATATGTACTACCAATATTTGTCCACATTATATGTTATCATTTACATATATGCATTCATTTCTTATTGAAAAAAAATGACTTAGGCTTAAGTTTATAAAAAATAGATTTATAATTACCTCCCTTTATTAACATGAAATGTAAATTCGGTAATATCTTTACAAATAATGCTTTTTGGGACTTACAATATTGTTAAATCTTCATTTGAGCATTATATTTATAATATAAAACCATAAATAAATTGTGTTACAGGATCTTTAACAGTATATCAAATACACATATACTGGTATAATAAAATATTGTGGATGACGAGTTTTACGACATATTTCGTCATCTTAGAAATGGACACGCCCTCTACGTCATAGTCTACTCCCAACTTAATAAGAATGCGGACCATTTGCATTTTAATTTTATTCATACTAAATCGTTCAATAAAAAGAAGGATTTAAAATATTATGAAGCCCTTTTTACACGCAGTTGTTATTCTTTTCACATTTATTTGCAAAAACAGATTGTCTTGTGGCGATTTTTTCTTTCTATCAAACACTTCATTACAGTTTATACCATTTGCCAAGGCTAATTATTTACAATCATTTGCCCTTCGAAATACATCAACTTTTATTTTACGTAATTACAGCTATAAGATAAGATGTTTTATTTACAAAATTACAATTTGGCTTGATTTTACATGTTTGTCTCCTTAGAAATAAAGTATTTCTTATCACGCAACCACATTTGTTTCTAAAGTACATTTCATGTATACATGTAATCAATAACCTCATATTTTCGGATATCTCGACAATAAATGTCTAAATTAATGTCCGATAAACCATAATCTACATCATATCAAACAATAAAAAGCTTCTAATATGCACTGCAATTATTAACGATGTAGATTTTTGTTATGATATATATGTATAATAACATGTGATTAATGTAACAGTTTCTGCCCCACAATGTCCTAAAGAACCCCTACAGGAACAATATTCTGTACAGCGTCAGCTTCCTTCTAAACCCCCAAAATGGAACGAAAATATGAAAGAAGCATTTGTTAAGAATTTAGATATCCAACGGGTTAATGAAATCAAAACAGCGCTCGATACCCCACGAGAGTGTGATGTTAAATCTTATATTAATGATATAAATAAACAAATTTCTGACGTTTTTTCCCTGTCTGCAAATTTAAGTTTCCCGACTCACAAAAACATATCCTCATCCAAACCTATCTCTCAAAACGGAAAATATCCATGGTACGGGCCTCACTGTAAAAAAGCACGTCATAAATATAATACTGCTCGTAAAACATACCAATTACACAAAAATAACATAAATAAAGCGAGATTGAAAACGGCTAGTAGTTACTATAAAAAGACTATGAATAGGTATCTAAATAAACATCACTTTTAAAATGAACGAAAATTGCGTGCGATGTGTTCAAATAAGCCGAAGGATTACCGGAGGTTTCTTAATAGGTTTTCACAAGCTAAATCGGAGAAAACACCGAGTATTTCAGAATTCTTTGACTTTTTTAAAACTTCGATTTCGTCTAAATATGGTGATAGTGACGGAGAAGATTATTTAAATTTTCAAAATACATTTAGTAACCTAGATAGCTCTTATCTTAACATACCAATTTCCGAAACAGAAATAAATAAAGCTATTATGAAGTCTAACAATGGTAAAGCTGTCTCGCATTTTGATTTTATAAGTAACGAGTATTTAAAGTCTACTCGAACTTTAATGGTCCCAATATATTGTTCACTGTTTAACGTTATTCTTGATACGGGTATTTAACCAGATACTTGGTTGATAGGTTGCATTAAGCCAATTTTCAAAAATAAGGGCTCTCCTGTTGATCCGGGAAACTACAGGCCCATTACAATTCTCAGTTGCCTAGGAAAGATTTTTACAGCTGTCCTACACGAAAGAATAACCAAATTTTTATCTGACAATAATTTATTACAGGAAAATCAGGCTGGTTTTAGAGCAAAATACTCTACAAATGATCATATTTTCACCCTTCATTTTCTCATAGAAAAATTACGCTCTAAAAAGAAAAAGTTATTTTGTTCTTTTATTGATTTTTCTTCGGCCTTTGATTCGTTATGGCGTGTTGGTCTTTGGAGGAAACTTTTTGGCATCGGTGTAAATGGTAAAATTTTTAACGTCATTAAAAGTATGTACTCAGACATAAAGTCTTGTGTATCAGTAAACGACCAAACATCAGCATTTTTCTCGAGCTTCTCGGGGGTACGTCAAGGGGAAAATTTATCTCCCATACTTTTTTCCATTTATTTAAACGATCTGGAACGTTTTCTCGAAAGACCTAATAACGGTATATTAATTGATTTTCATGAAGATGACGCGGTCCGATTTTTAAAGATTCTTGTCTTACTATACGCTGACGATACAGTTATCCTTGGTGAAAACGAACACTCATTTCAGTTATGCCTAGATGATTTTTACAAATACTGCCAAACATGGAAACTCAATATAAATTTTTCTAAGACTAAAGTAATTGTTTTTGGCACCAATAAACAAAGTAGATATTCCTTTTTCATAAATAACCGTGTTGTAGAGGTAGTGAAAGAATATAAATATTTAGGTGTTATATTTTCTTCTTCATGTAGTTTTTTGTCTTGCAGGAAAAATATTGTCATTCAGGCAAATAACGCCATGCACCAATTAAACATGAGGATAAATAACCTTGACCTTCCTATTGATCTCCAGATTAAGCTTTTTGACCAAACTATTTTACCTATCCTTACTTACGGAAGTGAAATTTGGGGTTATGAAAATTTAGACCTTATTGAACAAGTTCATGTTAATTTCCTACGCAAAATAACTAAGACTAGAAAGAGTACTCCCCGATACATGTTGTACGCAGAGCTAGGACGTTACCCCATATATATTACTATAAAATCTCGAATTGTTAAATTCTGGAATAAGTTAATCCTGTCAAATGAATTGAAAATATCACATATGTGCTATAGTTACATGATACAGTCTGATCATAATTATAAGTGGATAAATTTTGTTAAAAATATTTTAGAAAATGCAGGTAATTCGTATTTCTGGCAAACCCAACATAATATACATGGCTATAACGTCCACAAACTGATCAAGTCAACGCTAATAGATCAGTTTAAACAGGAATGGTCCTCAAAATTAGAAACTTCTAATAAAGACAGAATGTACAGTTGTTATAAAGATTATATTAACCTTGAGAAATATCTTCTTTCCCTACCAAGTTTATTAAGATTGTCCCTATTCCATTTTCACACCGGTAACCATAGGTTTCCAATTGAAATAGGCCGCTGGACTCAGTCATTTATTCCGCATGAACAGCGCAAGTGCCGGTTATGCCATACTAATAGTCTTGGTGACGAGATGCATTATTTACTAGAGTGCCTTTTCTTCTGTGAAA